CATTAGAAAAAATCTGACGAATTTTCAAGTCAATTGATCGGGAACTTTTGGAGATTTTTGCACATTTTATATAAAAGATTTCAAACCTTTGTTTTATTCACAATGCATTCTAGAATGGCTTAACACTTTTACGAAAATCTTTATCCAGATAAACCAAGAATTACGGTTTTAAACACCGTGACCATCTATAAAGAACACTTTTCCGAAACACTTTTTGAATCACCTTTTCCACTTTTATTAAGAAATTTATGAAAATTTAATTTGGAGGTATTTTTTGCGTCTTTCATTTTAAAAATCTGCCGGCCTGCTGTCGTAGAAGTTGTTGAGAGAGATTTTATGGTCCTCTTCACCATCGAAAGTAACACCCATGGTTGGTTTGACAGAGAGCGGTAAAGATGATAGTCGGTAGGTGCAAGATCCGGAGAGTACGGAGTATGCTGAAGAACCTTACATTCGAGCTTTTGAAATGCTGTTTTGATGACTTGGGGAACATGAGCCTGGTATTGTCGTGGTGTAAGATTACTTGGCCCTGTCCATCAGGTCTCTTCAGCCGAATCACCTCATTTACTTGTTTCAGCTGGGCAATGTAGAGCTCCTCGTTGACAGTGGTGCTTCATTCGAGCACTTCGCAGTGTGCTTGTCACTTGGCTTTGGCGTCTCTCTCCCGTTGCCACCCACTCCTTTCTTTGCTTCACAATGAAGTACAGACACCATTTCTCATCTCCCGTGACTATTCGATACAAAAAGCGTTTTCTGTGCACACGTGTTGCTCAGCAAAAAAAATGGTGATGTCGAAAATAAAATGCAAAACTCGATGAATTTATGTTGCAACCAAATATTTCCTTTTAGTTAAGAAACAAAATGAAATGAGACCCCCTGCAACTCACGGTTATATGGCGAAAACAACAATTCCAGGATGACCTTAAGTGTGTTGTATGTATGTAGAGCAGCATTGAGGCAGCCCATTTTAGCGATGCATAAGAGACATTTAAATAAATTCCCTATGGATGATTGCCTCTTCCGCCATATGGAAATAACCATGATTTATGTTCAATATGCTACAAGGGAACCTTTGAGAATTTGATTACAAGTCCGTGTTCTAGCCAAATAGGCCCTTGCTCCCTATCTCTTTGCTATCAATCCCTAAAATTACGAACCGTTTTTGAATGAGCTCATCAATTATGTTTGCCTTATATACGAGTATCTTTTAATGATCGAAAAAGTTAGCTTTGCATAACCGAAAAACTTCTGACTTACACACACACACGTATACGAGTACTCTCAAAATAAAAGAGGAAAAAAAAAATATCAAAAATCAATTTTCACTAATCATAAATTAGTTAAATATGGAATTTGCACTTAAACGCACACATATGCACACATCTTTCGACGAACTTGTTTATTCAAATATTTTGCAGTTCATCGCAGTTGTGTGAACTTATGGCAGCTGTCAAATTTTTTTGGTAAATTTTTTTATGTCCAAACTGACAAATAGCTATTAGATCGCCGCCACTAAATTTGATAGGACCTTGAAGGCACTAAGGCACGTACATACACGAACATGCAGAAATATTTGAGCTCACAAGCCATAACCAATCCCAGACCGCAACTGATAATTATTATTTGATTATTTTCAAATTGACATTAATCCAATGTAAAACATCCATATACATACTATATATTTACAAATTAAATATTTATGCATAATTCTTCGATGCGAGTTAGCTACGAAATTAATGTAAAATAATACTGTTAAATTGACCAACACGCGGCTTGTTTAGCCGCCACTAAAAGAAGCTCAGACAGCGAGTCTCATTCACACACCGTGCATGCATACGTACAAACATACATGTATACATTTCGGTGTCATCTTATAGTTAGCTATGTATGTCCATCAACCGGTTACAAACTCCCACAATGTAATGCTATTTGCATAGACGCGTATGTACGCACATACTTACATAGGAAACATGATAGGCAAGCAAGCAACAATTTAACGGTGTGCTAATCGATATTCAATAAAAAAAAATTTATATAAAATTATTAAAATGTAAAATTAATAAATCAAAACTACGGGTAATTACTTCATTTACCTGCTTTCTGACGCAAAATATATACGCCACGTTTTACCTGTTGAAGCGGATGACTAAACGCCTGTCTGAATTCGATTACCGCCATCCTCTAATCTTCATCGCTCTGGTCAGTTCAACATTATTCGTTGGTTGCACTATGGGCACGGTTGTTTTAACTCACCTTAAATTTTATAAATTACAGATGCTCAACTAACGAAACGAAACCACTTCGTTTTGTTAATATAAAAATAAAACAAAACGAAATTATTTTACTTTGTTAGCGAAATGAATTGAAATTTTTTTTTTTTGAAACTGCATACACTCATAGTTAACATTGATTTTAAAATGACTGCCTGCTATGATGTCAACAGCACACTTTAATTTTAACAAATAACATTATCTGTTAACGATTTAACGCTAACGACAGTTTTACGTTTCGGCTAGAAACGAAATAAAATTTATTTTGATAACTGTTTTAACGATAACAGCACCAAAAGTTTCGAACCGAATAGATGGAAATTTTTTGTGTAACGTGAAATTTTCACGTTACGATACAGTCTTGATATAAATTGTAGCAACTCAAATGAAAATTTAATATATGATATTTTAGGTGAATTTAGGTTATTTCTTACTTTTTTTGGAAAATGTATCTCAATCTAAAGTTTTTTTCTGAAGATCAATAATAAATTGCTATCAGATTACTTTAATTTCCACCAACAGAGTGGCGAAGCTTTCGTCCTCTTTCGGTATTCCACGAATAAGAAAGTTGTTCGCAACAACCTCAGAAGTTCGTCTGAGATTTCGCGAAAGAAAGGTACAAAGTCTCATGATTAATAGGCAATTAAACAATTTCCGTTGCGTATTACTTTATTGTTGATCTTTGACTGTAGCTTTAGGTCTGGGCATTAATAGAAAATATACTAAAATAACAAGTAATAAACTTCAACGTGGTTCAGTTATAAACAGGGATGCTCCATCATATAACGGCTCGATCCACCTCAACACGGATGACTCAAAACTGCACAACAGGTAGGTCTACTGAAAGCAACTTGAGATCTGCAAATACTAGCGACTGCCGGATCATTGTAGTGTTTCTCAGGCGGAACTAGTGACTAGTCAGGAGACAGGCAACTGCTTAGGTCAATTGGTACTCTAGATGAAGTGTATCTATGATTTCTCCGAAATCAATGACGGTAGAGAGCTATCGCAAATCATGTCTTTGGACATAGTATGGGTATCACGATAAAGTAGTATACCAAGAAACGAAATAACGGACGCGCTTGCAAAGCAGTGTACTTACCGTCCATTCTCCCATTATTTGCCCGATTTTCAAATATACTAATAATATATATATATATATATATATAATTGGCGCTTTGTAATCGCTGAATCGATTTTCCGCCGAGCTCCTCCTCCAATTTGTAGTTTTGCATATTGATGTTTTTCCAATAAATGGAGGGACCTACAGTTTATACTAAGCCGCCTCCGAACGGCTGATGGTTATTTATGAGGAACTTTTATTTCTTTAATGTTATGTTATTTAAACTTTAATGCTAAATCGTTAACAGATAATGTTAAATGTTAAATTTGAAGAGTGCTCTTAACATCATGGCAGACATTATGGAGTTTGTGCGATTTCAACATTTACAATTTCATATCGTTTTGATAACGAAGCGCCGAAACGACGCCGCAAAAACCATTATGTAAGATATTTAAGTTTATTGTTCATATTAACATTACGAAAAGGTTTTATTTCGTTAGTGAAGCATCTCTGGTACTAATTCATTTCGTTATTAACAGATCTTCTATATTCATGACCTTTCACCTGTAGCCTTCACAGAAGCTGATCGTACTTGCTGAGTTTCCTGGGTTGGGTTGTTATTTTCGTTTGTCAGTCTGCATTAAAACTCCTTAGATAAAATTGGTTTCATAATTGGCTTTCACCCGTCTTTTGTCTTCGTTATGCACTGTAACACTCGCGCCTTGACGTTATTCATAAAAAAAATTTATTTAATTAGAGAAATTTAGTAACCGCTTATTAATAACTTTTCGTCACTCTAACTAGGAAGCTTATTACAATTCGACCGTGATATATTTAAGTTTCCTACAGCTCTCGACAGCCGTACATTAAAATATTTTCAAAAAAATCGTTGTGCCACTAATGAGTTACATAATTCATAAATAGTTCATAAATTTAAGCCCTAATTTGACTAATTTTGATTTAATTTTCAATCTGCTTAGCTCTACTGTCTACCTATGTATATATAGACCTATGTATTTATATGCATAATCATATACTTAAACAAGTGGTGTACATAGATATGTACTTGGTGTTCATCTCATTTGGATAAATTGCTCGGATAGCCACATTTGTGACCACAGCACATTTAGACGACTGTAACTCACCAGCAGGTTATCGGTGTTACCGGTGGTTGCTACTACGACTGCTGCTGCTGCTGCTGCTTCTGTTTCCTTTTATGCTGAGCGTAAGAGCAACAGTGCCGAAGCAACACCACCAACTAACAACCCGCCAATACTTCTGCCAGTGCCGGCAAAGCTTGTTGCCAAGACGATTGTTCTTGTTGTTGATATCACCGATTCCTCTCGCAACTATCCGTGTAATAAATATGTACATACATATATATAAGAGTATGTACGTGTCTGCGATATACTCATACATATTTGCATACATTTGTCAGCAAGCGTATAGCAATTGTTGTTGATTTTTCTGTGTTTTTTTTCTTTTTTCTTTTTTGTTGCTGCCCCCACCAGCCAGTCAAGAAGCGAAACAATTCATTAAATAGTGTACTTGTGGCACTTTACCGTACTGTTTTTGTTGTAATGTACACAAAGTTCAAGTGAATCTTCAATCGTAAGGCACACCAAAGTGTTCAAGTTTAATTTTTCGGTATAAATATTCCTGTACATTCTGCATGCCACACAGTAAACAACAAACACTTAACAGGTGCTGTGTGCTGTGAGTGTCGGAAAAGAAGATTCTCGTGTGAATTTGTATAAAAATTAAATCCTTGAAGGTGGAAAAGATCAGATTGTGAAAACTATTAAAAAATATCCTGATTTCGTGAAAAATTTAATTAAATTAACAATGAAAATAATTGTAAGTAAATGATTAAGTGAAAAATGACTGAAAGGAAGAAATATTTTTGAAATCCAAAAAAAATATCCTTATTGGAATGTGGAGAATTGCAGAGACAACACTAAAAAAGCCTAAAATTTTTTGTGAAAAAATATTTTAATCATGTTAAAAAAGATAAGGGCATAAGCAAGAAGCAAATTATATGATTATACATTTCTCAGTGCTGTATACCAGTGGAACTATTTTAAACATTATCCGAATTGATGGTAGTATTATCCTTAAGGCATTAAGTCTGCTTTAGAGGCTTAGAAAAATTAATTTTTTTTTTAATCAATTCTAAATATTTATGCAAAATTTCAGTAGCCGATTCGACATATTTTAGAAGCTAGAGCAGTTTTAATTTCTGAGCGTCGAGCAAGTTCGAACGCTCGAGCAGAACCTTGAAGCGCGTTTTGATTTGAGTCCTAGAAAACGATACCGGTGATAGTATAAATAATGCATGTAATCTTATGCCTGTATTAAATTATCTTCTTTTCGAAGAAAAAAAGCTGACCAAAAATATTATTGATGCAACATGCTCTTTTTCGAAAAAGTGAATTATTTTTTAAGATCGGAAAATTTGGAATTTTCCAACTTCCAACACTAATAAAAATTGAAAGAAATTTGGTTCGCACGACCACCAACAACGGCACCGTTTCACGAGTAAATTCCAATATTTTTTAATCCCAAAACATATTTTTTAAACTTAAATATAGTACATTATTGTCTGAAAATTTCCTTCCCTTTCAAATAAATTGCTGACAAAACGTTTTTTTCGGGTTCTGTAGGAGACTATCGCCTTAATGAGGTAATGTAAAAGCTAAACGTAAAAGCTCAATGCAAAAGCTCTTACATTTCCTTAAATAGAAATAAAAAATTGTTTGAGAAGAATTTTTGGCTAATAGCAATTCCAAAAAAAAAAATTAACAATTGAGGACATTTAAAAATGGAGAATTTACTCGTTTCTTGTATTACGTAATTGGCGCTTCAGAACCGCTGAAGTGATTTTCAAAGGAACTAAGTTTATCGTAAGCTCCCTTCAGACAGCCAATTGATATTTATGAGAAAGGTAAAAAAATGCTCGGAGAAGTTGGTATGCGACGGCAATTTAGTAATTATTTTTTTTTTTTATAATTTTTAGTGTTCTTTTAGCCAGTGTTTATACCCATCTCTTCCACATGGCAGTACATACTGGTAGCCACTCCACTAATGCACCGACAAATCACTCATGCAACTGAAAAATAGAGCAGCCAATATCTATTGGATTAGGCGCAAATAAAAATCGTACATGTTTACAGAGTATATTAAGCCAGATCAGTTGAAAATACTCATAGAACTTATTTCTAAATTATTTTATTATATTAAACGTAACTATGCTTCCTTAAAGAGATTTATAAGCAATACACCAAAAGCTTTCGTTTTTATGTGTTTTGGTTTTCTAGGATCTGCTAGATTATACTGAAAATTCATCAGTTTGTATCTAGCGCTCACCGGAAAGGTTTCTAGGGAAAAGGTTTTGGAAAGTTTGCCAAGGCTGTACTTATGCAAAAAAAAAAAAAAATATTGATGGTTCGATTCACTTTGAATTTGGTACATAATTTACTTTTGGCTCAACTTAATATGAATACTACTTTTTCTTTCGGGAAGTGGAAAGCGGACCGGTAGAAAATAATTTAGGGATCAATTAGATCAAAATACATAAAACCACAACAATGTAAAAACATGAGAAACGTATGCTTTTCCATTTACACTTTTTGATAAATTACCAGTGTAGAAAGCTCATCAAATCAGAGGTAGTATAATTGAAAAGAAATTCATAACTAAAAACTATAAAAATTTCGAAATTTTTCTTATTAAAATTTTAGAGGAATTATTAAGAGAAATACTAGGCTGTTTAAGTTCGTCATCTAAATGACTAACACATATTTGTGTGCTTAAGGAATTTTAATTAATTAATTAATTTACTACAATCGAGGTTTTGGCACTTATTTCATTTTGAAGCACGAAACTCTTATTATTAAAATTTTATTAAAATTAAAGTTATGAAAATTACAATAAAATTAGAATTTTCTGAACATTTTCTGTTGAATAAATATTGCTATTCCGAGTTCAAATGATTTATAATTTTAATTTTCATATATAAAATAATTAATTTATTCAATGTTTATTTTATACATTTTTAAAAACCAAAGTTAAATTGGCAATAGTTGAGTATTTTTTATTCAAGCGTTGGTCATTTCGTTTGGTTAATATGAAAAATACAAAATAAAAAAATTCTAATATAAACTTAAAGAAACCATTTTGTTTAGTTTTGGCGCCATGATAACGAAACGAATTGAAATTTTTAATTGTGAAACCGCACACACTGATCGTTAATATTCCTTTTAAAATGACTGCCAGCTGTGCTGTTAATATCACAGTTTAATTTCAACATTTAACATTATCTGTTAACGATTTAACATTATCTGTTAATGATTTAACATTAACTGCAGCCTTTCATTACGGGTGAAAGCGAAATAATATTTATTTTGATAACTGCATTACCGATAACATTTCCAAATGTTTCAACCGATTTACTAGAATTTTGTTGTTAAAATTAAATTAACCGTGCAGCCTTGCATGCAAATGATACTATTAAATAAATCTGTAATTGCTTAACAGCCGATTTAACTACTGCATTGAACTGCATAATTTTTGCTTTAGTTTTAAAGATTTTCTAAAAATATATTTTTTCTTTACTTGTTAGAAAAATGATTTTCGCATTATTATTCTCATTTTTTTTTTACTAAAATATTCCCAACGAAGAAAGAAATAAATTACCATTACCAAATGAAATTAATGTTTTATTTAACTTTTTCTATCAAAAGTAGAAAATTTGAATTTTCCGCGTTTAAATAATTTTCACTTGAATTAATTGACATTAAAAGATATTAATTTTGCCAAAATGGTAAAAATAAATATTATATTACTAATTCTCTTTACAAATTTACCGCGTATATTAAACCATTCTATAAAAAACTGTACCCTCCAGATCAGTTTGCTGCTTGCTTTGCTGCTCAATGTAACTTTGGCGAGACCACAAGGCCCAACAAAAGAGCCCATACCGATAATAAGGCAGGAGCAAGAGGTCAATTTCGATGGCTCATACAAATATTCATATGAGACGGGTAATGGCATACAAGCGGAAGAGGAGGGATATTTAAAAAATGCTGGCTCTGAAGCAGAAGGACAGGTAAAAATATATGTTATGATGTGCTCAAATAAACTATTATCCTCGTTTAACATAAAATATAAATATGTATGTATTTATATACATACACGCCGTCATTAATTTACATGCCATAACAACGATAAGTCCATACAAATTACTTTTTATTAAAAAATTTATAATTTTATACATAAAAATATACATACGAACTTTGTTATAATAACAAATCTACGTCAACGCACCCATTCTTTACCTGCAAAAGTGCTAAAAAATATTACCGAAGAAGCGTTTCAGCAGTAAAGGTCCATTCGCACGGCTACACAATCGCCGTTAGAGATCCGTTACCGCCCCATAAATTGCTGCTGAAAAGTGCTTGAATATTCCATCAATGAAAAATTAGCGTTGCATGCTTATTTATGAACTAACATGTATTTATGTGGGGGGAAATAATATTTTTATAATTTATTAGGGTGTGCCGAAGTTTATTATCGCTCACAATTATTCAATTAAAAATTTATTCGTAACTTTAGATTTGACCAAAACTAAATAGTGCAGGAAAGCTTTGCTATGTAATAAAATAATTAAGAAAATAAATTTTTAAAGTGAGTTTAAGTCTTTTTTTTGTATAAAAATAATTTACACATAATTTTTTTTTTTTTTTTTTTGTAAATTATTTCTTTTATATTTTGCATTTTTTTAAAGAGAAATCACACACTTCAAAATTACCGAGATGAAAATAATAAGTGTTTTATCAAAATTTGTTTTGGAATGTTATATTAAGTGCGGCTTTTTTGGACTACCCTCATGGTATTGATATCCACATACATCTAAGTATATGTGTATTTGAGTTATTTTCCAGTCGATTGTAGGCGTCTGCCACGTGACTTAAAGAAGCGTTGCAAAATATTTAAATCGGTTAATAGGTGACAGCACTGATACCGTTATTACATTCACTGCATTTTATATTCCTCCATTACCACGACGAGTGCGACAGGCGATAGAAAGAGAAAATTCTCATACAAAAAAGCGAAACGATGGCATAAATATCATGAATGGCAACGCCTACAGACAACACCAGCAACCATACTCGACGACAACAGCAACGATGACAACAACAACGTCGAGAAAACCAATATCGTCATGAGCATGCCTCCCTCATTGATGATCAATTTCTGCATTATTTCACAAAAGTGAGACCGTCATGCACATACTCGTACGAGTATACAAGAGCACCGCTTGCAGCGTCTCGAGCATAGCGAACTCTTCTGAATGTTTGTCTACGTCAATACACGTAAATGGGCACATAAATCGCGGCGCGGCCAACACGATTCCAATGCGCATTGTTGCTCAATGATTCACCGATTACGAGCTCGCGCAGTTCATTGGTTCAGCAAGAAATCAGTGAACTATGTACGTATATGTGCATGTACAGAGTGTGTAACTGTAATCCAGATTGACATTTGTGGCTATTGTGCTATTTACTGGTCCGTTGTTATTGTTGTTTTATTGGTTGCAAACCTACTAGCCCACCTTCGTTCACATTGTTTTAAGTCACGAATTGATGTTCAAATAAAATTAGCACTTAGCGCATTAACATACATATATACATACATACATATATACATACAAACACACAAAATTATCACGTTTATTACCATACTTCAACTCACTTTTCTTTTGATTGACTTTTCTTTTTTTCCACATTCGCGCATCTGCAGTCAGCACAAGGCTCCTACTCCTACACCTCACCGGAAGGTGTGCCCGTACGCATCACTTACTTGGCCGATGAGAACGGGTTCCAACCGCAGGGTGATGTTCTGCCCACACCACCACCAATTCCACCGGCAATTCAGAAGGCGCTCGCTTACTTGGCCACTGCACCGCCACCACAGGATCAATCGAACTCGTTTGCGGGCAATCGAAGGGGTTAGAGATTCTCAAAATGGAATAATAGAAAAAAACCCAACCAAGCTGTGAAATCAAAATGCCTAAAGCAAAACCTATAATTAAAACAACAAGAAACACACACTCATGCTAAAGAAGACAACCACACACACGTTCGCTAAAATTAGAAGTCATGAGAGAACGTAGCAAAGAGAAAGGAGTTTTAATTTGATCTGTTGATATGGAGTTAATAAAATTTTACCTTAACAGTTTAATACTTCGATAAACTTTATTTCTTTCCAAAATACTCATTTAACGAAATATGTTTATATACATACATACATATGTTCTTGCTTACATACAATACTTACGAATAAGTGTAATAAAATTTACAATTTTCAAAACCTAACTCTGTGCAACGCTTTCATTTCATATACTCGTACAGTGGGTCACAGCTTATTTAATGATGTCAATTCATTTATTTAAAAATACTTTATTTTCAAGCATTTTTTAAGACTTTACGCAAACTAATAGTTTGCGCTTGTTGACGATGGTTCTGTGTTACGGAGAGATAGGCTAGTGGTCCGCGTCGACATTGAGTTCTCTGAACGTAGGCACGCTAAAAACACTGGAAACAAATAGCCCGCCTATCGTAACATAATCGATCTGGAGACAGCCAAGTACGGCTTGGAATCTATACACAAGCTTGTTTGGGGAAGTTTCGTCGTGGATACGACAGTTGTACCGAAAATGTCTTTTATTTTCTCTGGCGTCGCACCGTCGTTCTCTTTCATCGAGGCGTGTCTACTTTCATAGATAAATCAATGATGGCAGCTCATAGATATTGGCGGGAATGAAAAATCGTTTGTTCTCTTCATCTCTCTCGTAGCTTCTTCTAGAAAGAAGTACAAATCTTTTCTGCAGGTCATTCTATTATGAGAGTACGTACATTTGACGTAACCACTAATAATTCTAGTTCGTTTAAGCTTGTCTAGTTAGTCTATGTATTGGGTAGGTAGTTGACATGAACATCGTGAAGAGTTTGCCCAAACGAAATATTGACTAAACCTAAGATTTGTGACAATGCATAAAAGCCCAATCCACTTTTTTCCGGCGGGCCACAATTATAGAAATCACAAATGAGATGTAAGAAAATCGAACATAAGCATTTCAGGCCTCTTTAATTCATTGTTGGAGAAAATAATATGAGAGCCAAAAATAAATACAAGAGTGTATAACTGCTGACATACACGTATGCCGATGATTTGACACATTAGTAGTGAATGAAGACAAAACGAAATATCTTCTGTCATCTTCTATTTGGAACCAGTATTAACAGCAACACCAATATCAGCCTGGAAATCCAACGCAGAATCACTATAGCCAATCGCTTTTGCTATATTGAACTGAGCAGGCACTTTTTATTTGCCTGAGCTTAGCCTTGTCTGGATGTACAGAGGCTAAACTCCACAAGTCACTCATCACTCCCGTCCTCAAGCCACAAATAGCGAAAAGAAGGAAATAATGGCACAATGTTGTTAACTCGGCTATAATCACGAAAGCGATACCTAAAGATTAGATTAATTAATTCAGAAAATATCATATATAAGTGTGTGGTGAAACTCACTGGCATTCGCATTCAAATTAGCAATAATTGCAAAAAACTAGCAACGAGCCAACATTTGCATCAACAATGTCGCTAAACTAAATGTAATCACACTTATTTATGGTTAAATAGACGATGAATGTTTTAAGGACAAAAAAAAAATAAAACAAGAAAACAAAAACATATTGAATTATTCATATAGTAGCAGACCAGGCCAGAGAACTTATAATTACGTTAAGTTTCTACAGGGCTAGCATTCACCACTCTGTTAAATCTTGGCTGTAAACTAACAGAATTTGTGGTTTAGCATAAGAAGAAAAACTGTTACTCACTACAAATTAATTAAAACCAATAGAAACAAAATAAAAATATAATGAAAGTCAAACAATTCGCAAAATTTGTATTTCTTTCTCATGCGGTATTTAGTTATTATTTAATTAAAAAATGTTAAAAATATTAATATCTACTCTATTTATGAAATTTTTTATTTTTATATTCATTGTTCACAAATCTACAAGATACGTGCATTTTTTTTTAAATTAATATTATTTTTTTTAAATTATACAATATTATTAATTTTATTATTACTATTGAATTTTTTTGATCACTTCAATATGTGAAATAGTTGCTGTCGATAATCTTTCAATATTTAAAAAAATGTGTTTATCATAATATTTGAATTATTAAAAACAATAGTTATTTATGTAAATTCCTATTTATCACCCTTAAAATTGACAATGCAAAGGAATACAGTAACTTAGAGAAAACAACATAATACCATTTCTCTGTTTTCAGCAGAAAATCAACTCCGATCTCTGCTCACTTTATCAGTGGATGTTATTTTAGCTGAGGTGAATAGCTTTCCTGTTGTGGGGAATCCTCGGCAAAGAATCTTAAGCCATCCGAGTGTAGTTTTGACTTGAAAATCATAAAAATCCAAAGGCCGTTAGCAGGCGGCTTTGAGCGAACTGTAGGTCCTTTTATTTGTTGGAGAAACCTCAAGACGCTTACCACAAATAGGAGGAAGAGCGCAGCCGAAAGTTACTTCAGCGTTATTTATTTCGCTTTATTTTGATAGACAATATTCTCTCAAAGGAAACCATGTCCCTATTAGCAAACCGATTTTCACAGGCTTCTCTTGAGGATAATTCTACACAAGCCATATCCTTTGCTATAGACGGGAATAGATGGTAATCACCTGGTGCGATAAATCGCCTGTAAAATTAAAGCATAAGAACTTCCCAACCAAATTCTTGGAACTACCAGCGAGTCATTATCGATGTGTGTGGTCTGGCGATATACTGGTGAAACACAATTCATCTCCAGTTGACCAGAGCTGGGCGCTTTTGGGGTATTGTGTCTTTCAAGTGGTCCAATTGCTGAATTAAAAGATTGACCGTCGGGTTGCAGCTCATAATGGATGATTCCTTGCCAATTCCACCAAGCACACAACTAAATCTACATGGCCGTCAATCCTTTTTTTTTTTTTAGACCGTTTGAGTCGGCTCACTCACGGCCCTTTGATTAAGACCGTTTTCATTTGGCGTTGCTGTAAGTGATACACTTTTCATCCCCAGTCACCGTCCAGTTCTTAAATGAATCAGTTTTATAACGATTCGCGAAAAACGATTCGCAGATAGAAATGCTAGACCACACACATGAGGATTTTTCGTTAACCCAACAACGAGTTTCAAGTGGTTCAAAACTGTTTTTTGGAAATATTTAGCTTCTGAGCGATCGAAGAATTGCTCAGTCGAAATTTCCATTATTTTGTCGACATTTTTGACAATTGGCCTTCCACGCCATGGAGCAGAACGAAACCTACGAAACCAAAATTGTGCTTGATTGATTTTTACAGTATCAGGACCATTGCACTATTCACATTTTCACTTTTGTCGAAGAAACATTATAGAATGCGGCGTAGTTTCACTTTTCTGGCGCCCATTTTTGACATGACCTCAAACAGCACTGAGTTCAGTAATATCTAATATTCTTTTTATTACAAAATATAATCTCTCTGATGGTGTTACAGCGTAGTACAATCACACCTATAAAGCACAACAACCATCAAGGGCAAAAATAATCTATTGGGTTGCCCAAAAGAAACCGACGATTTTTTAAAAGAAAGCAAATACATTTTTTTTCTTTTTTTTAATTAATTTTTTACTTTTCATTTTATTGGATGACCTTTCGCCATATTTTAGGCAACATCAGTGCGATTTTATAGTCCCCTAATTTCCGGAAGTTTTACCATTTAATGATTTTTGCAAAGGTGGCTTTAAGGTGGATCCATCAACAGTTCCCAGTAAAACTCACTCAGTTTTTGCCGAGTGACCAAGGATGTGTGCGGTCTAGCATTGTCCTGTTGAAATCTGACACCTCTACGATTAGCGCTTCAAGTTCGGTGGATGCATTCAATTTGTCTAAATGTTCACAGTAGACAGCCGAATTAATCGTTTGGTTCCCTGGAAGCGCTCAAAATATACCATATCCTTCCAATACCACCAAACTGACCAGCAAACTGAGAGCATAAACTTTTTTCTATAAATATCAGCTTTGAAATGGTCTGTGACGCTTCAGCATGCTTGGACCATGATCGTTTTCGATTAGCGTTACTGTAAATAATCCATTTTTCATCTCCAGTTATGATTTGCTTTAAAAAGGGATCATATTCATTGTGTTTAAGATGCATATAACAAGTGTTGAAGTGGCTTGTTAAATGATTTTCTTTCTTCATATGGTACCCAAATATCAAGTTTTTTACCAGTCCATATACGACGTCTGATTTGATTTTGGTATACTTAACTTCTCTCCAATCTCATGCTCAGTTAAGTGACGATCCGTTTCGATAAAAAGCTTGATATCGTCCTCATCAACTTCACTTAGCCGACCTGACCGTGACTTAACTTTGAGTGAAAAATCTCCCGAAGGGGATTTGCCAAACCAACTTCGACACTGTGTTTCCCTTAAGGCTTTATTAGCATACAAATTATGAAAGTTTTTAGCAACCTGCGCTGCATTTTTTCCTCCCCTGATAATGGATCAAATAATTTTCGCAATAAATGAAAGTCATATATTTGTAGAGTATGTTTTTAAAGGGATTTTGTAATACGAGGAATACTTTTCAAATGGCAGCTTCTCGAACACCCTTGTCTTACGCACGCCGCGGTACTTTCAAAATACTTTGAACGTGTTTTCATGTTCCGATGTAACTTCAAGGCTCGGACTTGATATATCAGTCCGGTTTGTTTTATCTAAAAACTATGTCAAAATATATGGTTTTTAAAACGTCTTTAACCTAATTTAGCATTAATAATTAATTATTTATATTTTTTTAGCATAATTGAAAAGAAAAAGTAGCAAAAAATGTATCAGCACATAGATAATTTCATGCGCCTTAAGTATAGACAACGCTTTTTGATTATAGTCTTCCAAAAGAGGCTGTAGGCTTGATGTTGTTGGGCCATGTTTTGCGAGCAGTGGCTGAAAATGCCATTTTGTAGGCGTCATTTTGACTGTTACTAATTTTTTGTCGTTCTTAAATCTCAGATAATATACAAATTGAATAGTCAAAACCGGCAGTTAGTACGCCTTCTCGTTCTTCCACAAAAAAATACAAATTTTGCCTGATTTTTGCTCAATATCAGGGGAAGATCCCCTTAAGGGGATGATAAAGGAAAATATTACGAAAATGTGCGCTTCTGTGGGCTCCATATTAAAATTGACGCCAAACAAACACATATAAATGAAATTACGTGTACCTTTTACTAAAGCAAGCTGAAAGTGACAGTTTATAACTGTTAAAAGAAAGAATACAGTTAAATAGTCACAAGTTGTTTTAAAAATTGTTAGCGCCATCTGTATGAAAAATCGCTGTTTTCTTTTGTGGCTACCCAATACATCTATGTATGTATATATTAATGATAAAAGTCTACATAATTTAGAAATCTTGGGAGAAGTGCGGCTTCTGTCACAAAGTTTTATTTATTTTAAGTGATGAAAATTGCTATTTACATAGCAGAAAATACTAATTGCTGTTCTGCATTCGAAGGTATTTTCATTTCACTCTCATTCTTAAAATAAAAATAAAGTTATACATTTATAAAAATTAGAATTAATATCCGAATTATTACGACTTATTAGTTGACATTGCATATCTTCAACACGACCGTTAAATCCATCATAATATTTATCGTACGTCGTTTTGAAGCAAACTCTTTACTCGCTTATACGTACAGGTATGAGTACGCATAAATAAATATATGTATATTATGGTATGCATGTGGATTTTCCAACCACTTAATTAAATATCAAATAAATAAATTTTGTAACTATTGCAATCGGAATGACGCACTCCACCACACACAAACAAATGTACAATGAATGAATGCCTAGAATGAGTTTCATAATTTTACGATTACACATTCTATCATTGCATTTCAACTCATCCCATCTCATCAACACCGGCGCATCATCAACTATCAATATCAACATCGTAAAATGTGGCATTTTATTGGGGCAAGTAAATGCGTTCAAGCAAACGAGATTGCTTCGTAGCTGGGCGTTGATGTCCGTTAGAAGACGACATATGTGTAAGTCTCAATGTGGCAATAACTTGCTTAGAAGCATCACAACCAGCCTTTCAAATTGTAATGTGTCTATAAAAGCGCCAGCAATTGATATTCACATTCATTTCATTTACACGTATTAAACGCGCAAAAAGTCCGTCATGTCGCTCCAGGTGAAGGTAAGTAAGCTCATCACGCCTAAGGATTACGGATTACCGAACAGGATCAATCGTCTTTCTATTTGCTCGTTATAGATAAGGGCACTGCTTCTCATTCTGGCTGCAGCGGCCTTTGTGGATGCACAGAATGATGGGCGTTATCGTCCACCCGTGGCTGCGACTCTCGCGGGTGCTCGACCTCGTCCAACCGTCCGAGGAGGTGGAGGTGGTGGGGACGGTCGTTATCAGCCGAGTAATGATGGTCGTTATAGGGGTGGCGGCGATGGTCGATATCGCGGCGGTAATGACGGCAGATATGTACATCAAGATGTGCCTTATGTACATGACGATCGTTCTGGTGGCCAATATGAAGGCGATGAGGATCGATTTGGACCCGGTGGAGGTGGTGGTGGTGGTGCAGGCGCTTCTGGAGGAGCTGGACGCTCTGGTTCAAACAATGGTGCACTTGGAGCAGGCAATGGTGCGCTTGGAGCAGGCAGTAGCGCGCTCGGAGCTGGTAACGGAGCTGCAATCGGCGCAGGCGCAGCTTTACAAACTACTACCCCACGAAAGCCGGCACCGAAACCCGCGGCAGTGGATATTGCAGCTACATTACCGAAAGGTAAAGGAACTGGTGAAGGTGGTAATGGCTGGCGGATCCTGCAACTATTTGATAAAGAAGAACAAGACGGTTATCACTATATGTAAGTGTCGTAAGATCAAATATATTTTTTAACAAGCAATTTTAGTTATGCTCACCGGGTCAACAATTTAAAATTTTTTATTTCATTTCATTCCATTTTGTTGATTTTATTCTATTTTATTTCATTTTATTTTATTTTTTTCAAATTAAATTTTTTTTGTAGTTTATTTCAAATATTTGATTTTGTTTGATTTTATGTAATTTAATTTTTTTGTAATTTATTAACAAAAATTTTTTATTTTTTGTGTCTTATTAATTTAATTAACATATTTAATTTTATTTGATTTGATTTTATTTTTTCAATTAAGATTTTTGGTTCAGTTTTATTTTTAAATATTTTGTTTTAAATACATTATTTTATTTTATATTATTTTAATTTATTTTAATTTTTGTTTTATTTTATTTCATTAAAGTATTTATTTTAATTTATTTTGTTTTATTTTATTTATTTCATTAGGTTTTATTTAATTTTAGTTTATTTTATTTTGGCTCATTCTTTTTATATTTTATTTTATTTTATTTCATTACATTTTATTTATTTTATTTTAAATCAATAAATATAGCTTAATTTATTTTACTTTAATTTTAATTTTTATTTTGTTTCATTTGATTTGACTTTATTTGATTTCTCACTTTACATATTTTATTAATTTTTTTTTTATTCATATTTCATTTTATAGTTTTTTATTCTATTTTCTCTTAAGATAATATAATTACATTTTAGATAACATTAACTGTTAACATTCTTGAGCAGCTGAATACATGCGGCTGTTACTTGTCTCTGTTCTTAACATTTATAACAAATTGTTTGTTTATTTTACCGCCTGAAAATATGTTTTACTGTTATTGAAACTTTATCTTCTTACAGCTATGAAACGGAAAATGGTATTTTGGCCGAAGAGAATGGGCGCATTGAGAAATTAGCACCGGAAGCGGATGGGTTACGCTCTTCGGGCTTTTACGAATACACTGGCGATGATGGTGTGCTATATCGCGTTGATTATGTAGCTGATGATAATGGATTTGTGCCGCAAGGTGCACACTTGCCCACTCCACCGCCATATGTGGCCAAGTTGTTGGCCTATCTGGCAGCAAATGCCAAGAAGTAGTGGCATTCAAATTCTATTTAATACGTTTATTGAAACATGCATTCTTGTCATAATCTGAATTTAAGTAAATTGCATTTCATTTAATTAACTATAATAAATCTTTTGATGTGTAGCAAATAAGCATCGTTTTTGGTCAATCATTCTATTTTGAAGACCTACACTAGTGTAGCTAAAAAAAAATGTTCTGCTCTCAGTTTGGAAAAAATGCCTGATATGTCCCAATAGCTTATGAAATGCAAAGCCTTTGAACGCTTGTTTCCAAAGTAATGGCTAGCGTAAAAGAATCAAATATTGTGTGTCCTTTGGTTCTTCTCTTCGCTGTTTGGCGCCAGCTGGTAATACCAAGTTTAACCAAGTCATTCTATACCTGAACCTTCCAACGGAGATCTTCCTCTTCCTCTGCTTTCCCCAGCGAGTACTGCATCGAATACAACTGGAGTGCTTTCATTTGTTCGGACGGCAAGTCAATGTCACCGTATAACTCGTACAGCTTATCGTTCAATCGTGCAGTGCCCTTACGCAGAGGACCGTAAATGGTGCGCAAATCTTTTTCCCTCCAAAGCTCCCAAACCCAACTTAGTCGATGTTTCGTTTCCACGTTTCTGCACCATTTATCTGGTCTCAATAATATTGAAGTGTTTGTTGAGTTTGATTTTAATTCGTCAAAAGAGGACTTTTCATTTCATGAGCCCTCAGTTGAATTTAGCTCCTCTTAGCATGATTTTCTCCGTATTGCCTCTCAGCTTTTACACTTGGCAAGTAAGTACTATTTACACCGATTTCTCTAAGGCATTGGAATTCGCTCGGCATAATATTCTTCTGCGGAATCACGAGTGTCTGGGTTTTCATTCCATATTTCTCTTCCGATTGAGATCTTAACTCTCCAATAGAATTTAGATTATTGCTTTTGCAGCACTGGTATTCCTCAAGATAGTAATCGTGGTATTCGCCTTATTAATTAATGAGATTGCCATTGCCTTTAAGCTCGCGATATTTTTGCTTTATGTCAGTAAACTGAAAGCTGTTTGGCAAAATAATATTTCCAGCTGCTGTTAAATTATTGCAGCAACATTTAAAAAGCCTAACTTCATAGAAGATCAAAAACAAACTATTTCTCAAAAAGATATGCTCACATACTACTTTTCGAAGTTTCAAAATTCTTTCTAATATTACTCTTCTCAATGTTCAAGAATTCTCAGAACTTAGAATCACTTTTAACTGTGGCTTGTCTTATGTTAACCACATAAGTTATATGCTTCCGAAATCTTATGCAAATTAAGCATTTTTAATTCGTTCTGCTAAAAAACTTTTTATGGTAAAAACGTTTTGCATAACTCTTTAGTTCTTTTAAAACTAGAAAATACGTAGCTCTATAATTTGGAATCAAGTTTACTCAACACATTTCAAAAGATTCATTCGTTTTGCCCTTCAACCACTCAACCTTGCTGACCGCGATGTCGGTTACATCACTAAAGCCACTTAGCCACAGATACACTTCGCATCATGTAAAGCTTATTTATGACATTATTATTTCTGGTTCTAAATATATCTCAAAATATCTTTAACAGATTAGTTTCATTGTCCCGTGAAAACCCCTACGCTCTAACTATCCTATTAGTATCAAGTCACGTACAATAAAACTGTTTATTATTTCCTCGTTCCAATTACTCGTGCACTGACTGCGTTCAATATTTGCGAAACTCTTGATCTGGATTTTGTCATTTCAAGATATGTTTTCCGCTGTAAAAAAGATTCTAATTTATCTTAATTTCTCTTCATTCTCTGGATATATATGAGAAGTCTCTATTGCATGATATAAATACTTTAGGAGAGGTTGACATTCCCTCTGCTGAGTGGTGACTACAATTAGAAAATTTAACTTAATTTTTGATTTAAAATAATTTTAATTTAAGTTTGGGTTATTATCGGACCAGCACTCGAAGCTTGGCTTTCTCAATGGCAGTACGCAAAGTTAACCACTCCGTAATAGTATTAGCTAAATTTGTATATCCATGGAATAGATAGAGGTTACTTTAATCACCGACTTAAATATTCCACGAAATCCAATTTGGAGATATTTTAACGATTAGAACAGCAATATTAAGAGTAATTACTGTTAAAACGACGGCCGCAATTAGAAGTGGTACAAAGTGGCGCAGTCTAAGATAATATAATTAATATATCATAAAAATTAATAATAATAATTAAAATATAATTTGCCGCTTTGTAATTGCTGAAGCTTATTTCAGCCGAGCTTTTTATGTATGGGGTATGTATCTCTCTGTATTTATCTCTCTGTTTTCCCAACTAATGGTGGACCTAAAATTTATTCTAATTCGTCTCCGACCAGGGTGTACAAATACACTCGGTGGACTAGACTTGCCGAGGGAGGCAGGCAATAAGAAAAAAGAATATTCTTTTATTTTGGTTGTTTGCCGAAACAGGTCTCGAACCGTGGCTTTCTTACGCTAGTACACAATGCTCAACTATGTACAGAAATACGAAAAAAAATAATGTTGAACTGTAAAAAGCTGCAGTTGGTACCAAATATTCGTTAGTAGAGGACTCAGTGAAAGAAACACGAAATGAGCCTATAAAAGCTATTAGGCAATTAAACGAAATATATGGATTATCCCTCACTGAGAGGGTTCTGCTGCTATAAGCAAAAGCTTCATTCTCAATAAGTTTACAGATTCTCAATGGGGGTTTCATTTACTGAAGTAAACAGTATTAAAAGAAGATATCCAATCATTTGGTTTTCCTCTTGAAGTCTGCATTTTAGAAGCGATTTAGCTTTATTTCTGGAAGTTTTAACAACAGAGCATCAGATTTCGTACCAAAATACTCAATTTGTATTTAATAGTTTACGTAAAACAAGTGTAGTTATGTTTCAAAAGCTCAATTATCTGCTTATTAATCCATATTTAGTAAATCGCGTATGTGTTGATTATAATTTTAAAATAAACAGGAAATATACATATAAGCAAGCCAAAAAAAACTGCGCATTTTATTTATTTAGAGTTGGCAGTATATTGTCCTGTATGTAGTCGAGTACTGCGCTTATTATTTGCTGCAAGTAAAGGTATGTTAACATACCGTGATAAAAATATTTGAAATTAATCATCTTACATTTGGCGTATTCACTACATCATCGCTGGAGTAGTTAACATTGTAAATATCATCTTCGTATTCACCCGACAGATGCACATTGGTTGACGTTGGAGTTGCGGCAGTTGAAGAAGTATCCACTTGAACAGCATCTGCATCATAGCCTATTTAGAAAACATAAACGCACACAAGATTCATTTCACATTTAATATTACCAAGCAAAAAAAACTTTTCTTTTATTATTTTAAATTAAATAATTCCCACCTTCCGAGGGCCACAATTGATTCTCAAACTTGTAATCATAGTGCCTCTTCACATTATCATCGTTCACCCAATCGAATTCGACAATTTGCCAACCACTGCCGTCGAAATTGAAATCTATAGAAAAGCGCAAATGATCTTTGGGACCCAAACGCAGGCCGAGAGCTTCTCCAGGACGACGCGGCGGCGATGCAGGTTCATCATGTATATACATCAGGCCGCGATCACCGTAACCACCATCGTAGGGTACCTTCACATGACGATATGTACCACTCTCATCATGCCTATACTTGCCCAGTTGAGCACCATGCAACTCGGGCACATAACGTCCATTGCGTAGTGGCTCGGTAGTTTCACCATTCGTATCTGCCTCTTGTGGACGACAGCATGTGAGTGATATGTGGAAAAATAACAAAACGGTTAGTATGATGTGTGAGTAATAGTTGTGATTGTGCATTCTTGTGCTGAAGGATATTTCCTTTATTTTTGTTTTTTACACTGCTCGCTTTTAATAGTAGCGTATACGCCGCGTCTACTGCACGATTTGTCACTTACGAGTGTTCGCTTAATACTGAACTATGGAAATTCTAACGCATTAGCAATTGCATTATTATTTTGTTTTGGCGTAAACTTCATCTTCATTAGGTAAGCAAATATTTTATGCAATTTATTAACTAGCTCGATTATGTCAATTGATTAGTGGAGCGCCAGTATGGCATGTAGACGTTGTGCATTATGTGCAGACTCATTTACAAAAACCCTGTAGGCAGTTTGGCTAGTTAGTTTCTTCATCGTGGATGAATTTTTAAACAAATTTGAGGGGAAAAAATCGTTTAATGTTTCATAATTCCAAAAGCAAAATTCATCAAAATACTATATCTGTTTAAAATTCAAACTTACGTTAACTTTGTTATTATTTTAAAAATAGTGTGGTTCGTTCAGAATGTTGCTAGATAGACTGTGGGAACCGGCTAGACCCTCAACAACGTAAAAGTTATCCAGAAGCACCTATTCGCGTTTTTCTTAAGTGACAGTTTCACAACAAAACGTTCTTCGATGTTTGCGGTAACATTCTGAGCAAAGTGCAAGTCGCACAACTGATCTAATGGTGACAATGGGTCGGTGGTTATTCAAGTCTACACAGCTGCCCAATTGCCTTTTTAACGATTTGCTGTCTTCGGCACTAGGTAGAGGTGACCTGCTTGATTTCGTGCAAGTTGCTGTTGCGTGCCTTTGTGACCTTTTGCATTTCAATACCAAATAAAACTTCCTGTACTCCACACTAGCGATATAACTCGATATCGAATGGGCATAGATTTTTTCCAAATTTTGAAAAATTATAAAAATTAAATAAGTATTCATGAATTTTCATTAATTATTTTTAAGTCCCTTAATTTCCTTCAGGGTGAAATATCTATTTGTTCATAGTAATGACTGCAACTGTAAGTAGAAAATCTGAGTAGTGTTTGAAAACGATATTTTGCAGGAGTGAAAAACCGTCGTAATTGGGTAGTTACTAAAAGGGAGTGCACTTCAGTGAAGCTACTCCGACGTATTCGGTTCAAAGGTTCGTTCAAAGTCTAATTGTAGCGTCTGTTCCAACCAAGTCCAATGAAATGCCTCAGATGGGAGACCGCCCTTCTCTTGGCGACCACTGCAAACGTATTGAGGAATATAAGTTATGATCATCATCAAATTAAAGGCGGACATCAGCGCCGTCCAAGAAGTGCGATGGGCGGGAGAAGGACGAAAGCAAGTAGGTCCTTTTAACATCTACTACTGCGACCATATAAAGGAGCAAACACTTGGTGTCGGATTCGTAATGGAAGAGATACGTCCAAAGTATTGAGGACGATGCAACAAATGTCTGATTTCCCGACTCTGAAAAAGCTCGGTTAGAGATCAGTCACATGCGGGGCCCGTCGATGTAACTATTCAAAGAACTGATAATGTGCATGCATCAGCTTCTTTGCAAAATATTTTGGATTAGAGCATATGCGACGATTGGAACCTATGTGTGCTCTGCCCCAACAGTAAAAAGGGGGATCCACAGCCTTGCCTCCTTTATATACCATATAAGATCGTGGCGAGCTTAAAGACTAAATCCCACTAATTGGACCTTAACTTGCTGTAACTTAAGACCTGTCAAATCCATATACGTTATAATACATAATATAAAAAAGAATTCCACGAAGACGAGATCCAGTATTTTTACATTTACAAAAAAAAAAAATAAACATCACTGTTTTACAACACTGAAAACATTTCACTATATTTAAAATTGTTTATATATATACGCATATTTTTACACATATTTACTATATAAATACACACATGTGCATTAATTAACACTTAAACACGAAATTCATCGTCATTTCATATAAAAATTATTACCCGCAGAAGTGGTATGGAATGCAAAACAATGTTTGCAAGTCGGCTCTGCAAGGAGAATCCAGAAGCCGCACATATCACACCGGCTTTGGCGTATAAGGCATAACTCAAAATTTGGAAAACAAAGAAGAATATTTCTAAGTTTACAAAATATTTTCTAAGGTGAAGGCAGTTTGTATGAAATCATTATGAAAAGTATCCTGGATATTTATTTAAGCCCTTCGCCAAACAAATTTTTCAGAAAAAAAATTATTTAACATACGAGGGGATTACAAAAACTTCGATTAGTTGAGCGGAAAAAAAAATGAAATTTTTTCTTGTATTTATTCGTAATTTTTTTACTTTTCTATCTTCTCTGCATAATCGCCACTGATTTTAATGCATTTCTCAAGCCTATAAGTCCACTTCTGAAGACAGACTTCAAAATCTTGCTTTTTAAGCTTATCAAGCTCAGCATTAACCCCATAAATTATCTCTTCGTTGCTATTAAAGACCACTCTTTTGAAATTGTATATTATTTTTTGGTGAAAACCAGAAATCACAAGGTGTTTTATCCGGGGAAAATGGTGCTGGACGTATTTCTTTGATCCCAAAGCTCACAATAATATTACTGCTTATTTCGGCAGTGTGGGATGGCGCGTAGTCATGATGTAAAAAGTAGCGCCGCAAGTTCTCTTTCTTCCTGTTTTCCAAAAAAATTGGGGAAAAAGTTGGGATCCATACCATGCACTACTTTTTTGTTTCTGACTCACACATATAGAACCGAAATTCGTCACCTTTACCACAGTTGCTAGACTGACCGTTTTCGAATTTATTTAGGAAATATTGAGCAAAACTCACTCGAGTCTCTTTTTGGACCTCATTTAAAATTCGTGGTATCCATGGAGCAGATTTCTGCGCGTATTCCAGATGATTACTTAATATCCACATCATATCCATGGCATGCAAGCCCAATTCATCAGCAATCATTTCTTGTGTCAATCGTGGCTCTTCGTCAATTTTGGACTTCAACAGAGCGTCATCAGTAGAAGACGAATGTCCGGTTGGAGTCTTCGGAACTACTTACAAAGAGTATCTAGAGATGGTTCAAGCCTTTCAAGTACAATTTGGCAATCACTGAATATTTGTATTGGCTGTAAATTACGCCGAAACCCACTCACTTGGCGACTTTCTCTTCGCGTTGGGGGTGGAATTTCGTCTGACTTACCCTCACATATCTTGCGTTTTCTTGTCCTCATTTAAGCCGATCGTTCTAAAATTTTAACGGAAGACTAATGAAGAAAATTCAAAAGATTTGGTATATTGAGTTTTTACAAAAACAGTCACCAGCTGACCGAACTTCTGTTAATCCCCACGTATAATTTTAATGTGCTACAATTTGGTACATTTCAAAGCGAATTTACAGAAGATGAAGTTGTCACATTACGTGTTTGCTTGTTCTTCCTTCCATTTCAACAAATGATACAACCAAAATACATGGGAAATAAATTTTGGCTTTTCGAGACTGTGATTACACAAAAAAAATACCTAAACTTTTTGGTTTCGTATTCTTGATATACTATCGTGAGTGAATTGTATAGCAATATATATCCTTGTTGCACTTATTAGTTAGGATATCAATGAACAAGTTCCAATCCCCTTAAAATTGAGTGTTTTTGAGTTATGCCCGTTTTGAAGACGATTTATAGTGTTTGTGGCATATTTTTCATTTGCTTTTGTTTTATCAACAACATCATATTTTCAAAATCGATCTGATTAATGTGACGACAACAAAACAAAGATTGAAAATAATTTGCATTCCTAAATGTATGTATGTATGTTCATATAACAACCGCATATTAAGCTGGGATTTCCATAAACGGAAACATTCTCGAATTGCCTTCTAATGACGCATCACAACTTCAGGCGGCCCGTTAGAAAAGTGAAACCGCTCAAACTGCAACTATTTCTTGAGATTTTTTTTCCAATATTTTAAATCTATATTAAAGTAAAAAGGTATGCCTTATTGTGAGATATTTCACGTACCATATAGACAACTTAACACAACGGGCATCAGGGTGTTTGATACGATTGGGGTTCTCTTTCAACGAAAATTTTCAACAATTCAAGGCAAATTTCTCATAGTTTTCTTGTTAGTACAAAGCAGCAAATGAAGACAGAAAAATCTTCAGTTTGCAAGAAGAAATTTGGACAAACAAAATATTGCCACAGTGAGAATATAAGAGGCTCACTTCCTGGAGAAAGGAATAGCCCGACTTTTTGAATAGGCAAGTTCCCGATTCATTTCTCTCAACCATAAGAAAACTTGTATCGAATAGATCAGTCCTGGCCCACTTTCCGGAGAGAAGTGTAGTCTTCCTGTTAATTTAAGCTATAAATATTCGAAAGAAGATATGACCCATGTGAGGAATATCAGAAATTCGATCTATTAATAATTTTTTTTTTTTGAATATTTATAGCTTGATGCATATCAAATTTTTAAAAGTGGCAATTTTGAACCAATTTTTCATCCGGATAGGGGGACTGGATCGATTCGATGAAATCGAAATTATTAGGGTTTTCAAGGCCAAAACCAGTATACACCTGGCATTCCATTTAAGTATGCTTCGCAACAACTATCAGATTAGAGATAAAGCTGCTGCCCCCAAAGCCAGTTGTAGGTACCATGCTGCAGAGTAAGCTCACGAAGTGGCCTGGTGATTCTAGCACCACACAGAAAACCCAAAAAAAAAAAATTGTGACCAAAGAAGTACTGCGATAGGTGTAAGACTTCAGCTTCATAAAAAAATATACAATAATTTTATTTTATTTTCATGTTTTCTAAACCTCTAAATTATAAAAAAAAATTGATGATACTTTTGTATTAATATAAAGTAAATATCTTAAATACAAAATTATGCTTTCAGAAACAGTCCCAGCGAGAGAAATGCGCCACTCTAGATTAAGTATATGTTTCACGTTTTTTAAGACGGACTCATAATGGGTTCGTGACATTATCCATCACCATCATTGTTTATCAAACATCACCTACACTTCGTCTTCAAATTATATTTTTTAATGTCATCATATACAATTTTTAAGTTTCACATGATCTATTTTGCCTAGAGTGAGAATAAGACTAACTGCAAACTCATCACTCTTTCTGCGGGCATAGATATTTTCCGAATGCGTGAAAAAATCGCAGATTATCGGAATAGGCAAGTCTGGAAAAGACGCAACGCTACCATCATCATATCGGCTTGCCCCAGTTGCCTGTTCCATTTAAACCTTTTTGTTAAGTGATGCGATCCAAAACACCTCCTGTTCCCTAAATTACTTTTCTCCTGTACAGTTTTCCCCAAAAGTATGTTACTGAAAGCAAGTCGATGGCAATACCAATCGAATTGGGAAGGCGTTGGAGCTGCTAGAGTATTATATATAATTGAGAATGAAGCGTCACGCTGCATCTTCATGTTTTTCCAACTTCCTAGTGTGACTTAGCCATTCGAGAGAGTTTGACAAAAAGAGTCATAAACGATATGAAAATTGCTTTGCAAAAATTTTCCATTAGATATTCATATCGAATCTTATTAACGGTCGGCTTACAGTTAAAGCAAATAAATTTATCTCAGTACAGTCTCCAATTATGACAATCAAGGCAGCGTTTTTGGATCAGCAAGTCGAACACACCTTCGAGAAGGGATCTAACAGTTTTTTTAAGAGCAGTGTTTTACCTGACATCCATTAGTTATTAACAAACTAACAGACTCATTCTCACTGTTGCAGATAAAGTAAATTTTGTTACTTTTTTTAACATCGAAAATTGGATGTGGTTTTCTGGGTTACATTGTTCAAAAAATACTTTGGCAGCACTGCTTTTTTCCACGATGCCTAATTTCATTTGCCAGTTGGTAAAGTAAAAAGAAAAATATTCACAACGAAATGGAGGACGGTGCGCAACAAAATAAATCAGTTTTATATATATATATATATAAGTCATAAATAATTAAACCTAATTATGGAAAATATGCCAGGACGATAAAAAAGCTGACTTAAAACGGTTTTCCAAATTAAATGGGTAGTTTTTTTCCCGCAAACCTCTTAACATGCGCCTTTTTGTACTCTTTTCTTCATCTTCAATAAATTCTAGACGTTGAATGTGTTTACATATTTTGGCTTTTATTTTTTATCAAAAAAAAAAAAAATACAACAAAAACTGAAGAAACAGATAGTTTATTACCTCCTTTTTCGTGGTTAATAAAATTTACAAGGTGACAGTGAACTCAGAATACGAAAAAGTAACAAAATTGTAAGGTAGAAATTGAGTAATTTTTACGATTCTGAAACTTTTTCTTAGGCTTTGAACAGATCCTACAGATCCAAAAAATAAAATATTTAACGTGAAAAAAAATTTTCAGTATCAATTTTAGTGACTGCTCTTTACTTAAATTCCGATTGTTTCTTAATTTTAACAGGTGCTGATCGTACGAATTTTACGATCTATTAGGGACTTTATGTATATCAAGAATTATCGTACTGAAAATGTCGCAATACTAGTTGTTAACTACAATAATTTTATTCCTTTACAAACGAGTAAGTATTTCTTATATACGAGAAAATATATTGAGTTATGTTATATTTTATCCGGCTACAAATATATATATATACTCGTACCTAAAAGTGCTTTCAAAAAGATAAAAGGTTTATACAGGTGCTTATAGTATATGCAAGTACATACTTTTTCCTTATTTTACATGTTAAAATGGAGTCAAAATAAATCTTAACGACTAAAAGTTTTTAATTGTACTTATTGCAGAAATTTAAATATGTGACGTGTAGACACATATGTATGTATGTGTTCAATGGCAATAAATTCAGCTCGAATTTCAAGTATGAATAAAATAAAGAATGGAATAAATTGTCATGAGGGAAAAATTAGCACAATTAAAAGATTGTTATTATAGGCGCTTACAGAGGCACCAACACTATTGCACTCATCTAGCAAAATATACATACATACATTTTCAACTTGTATAATTTAAGTACAGCAACGATGCAGTTCAATGCACGGAGTGTCTTGGAGGGTATTAAATAGTGGCAGTACAATATGTTGGCAGTAACAAGACAGTTGTAGTTCAGTCGAGAGCAGCAAAGTCAGGTGGATCCTGGGAACAGTTTTACTCGAGATATAGAAAGGATAAAGTACTTTTGGCAGTTCGGGAGTTTTATGAAATCATATCTGATAATATCGTAGTTACAAGCATGCGATTTATGTAAAATATGTACCTTCCAACCAAGCTCTTGCATCTTTTTATATGTCATTATTAACTAGTATAGTCTGGCCTTTTCCTGATAAGATGTTTCAGACAGTACAAATTCAAATTAATTTTTGACCGAAGGAGAGCAGTTCATAGTTCATGATTCCTTGACAATCCCACCAAACGTACAAAATCCCTTAATTCTGTTCCTGTAATGCGACTGATTATATTGTCACGATTGTGGTAACCCTGCGACCTTGACCTTCTCCTGGCATCCTTTTTCCCTCCATTAACCTATTTGCCATCGCTCTAGCTTGTTTAGTTGGTCTGTTTTGTCGTGTTGTGTAAAAGTGGGTTCGTGGTGCTCGTCACGAAAATGGAAAAAACGAAAATGGAAAAAACGAAAATGGAAAAAACGAAAATGGAAAAAACGAAATCAACCGCAACGCGTCGCAATAAAATTTTGCGTCAAATTGAGCAAACAGCTTCGGAAACGTATGCTAAAGTTTTCAAAGTGTATGGTGATAGTGCCCTTAGTCGTACCCATATGTTTCGATGGCATATAGGGTTTAAGGAGGGGTGTGAAAGCCTTTTTCGATAGCCAAGGAATCATCCACAAAGAATTTCTGCGAACGGGCCGAGTCGCAAATCAAGTCTACTATTGTCAAGTACTAGAAAGTTTGCGAAAACCAGTCAACAGGTTGCGCCCAGACATTGCACTGGAATCGTTGTATAGGGAGAGTTGTAGAATAACTTTGAAATATACAATAACGTCATAAATATGAAGTCGAATTTAAATGAATTGAATCGAAAATGTCAAAAACCATGCACCTGATTTTCACATTACTTGATAACATACATATATACCTCCGTTGAAGACTTACCCCTAGAAATTAGGGAAATCAATGCGCCAGCAACAAAAAAATTAATCTTGTGAGCTTTATCTGTAGTTGAATCCTTCGCAGCTAATTTTATGACATACGTCTAAATATATATTGCCGTGAGCATTCTTCACTACTCTTTGAAGTAAAATTTTGAGTCACTTAATCGATGGAAAAGCACTAAAGAATTTTGCGATGCCTGCAGTGATAATGCAATATATTTATATGAGCAACCGGTTAAATGAGCTACAGCAAGCTTTAAAATTCAGTTCGGGTATTTTAAAGAAATAGAAGAATGGTTCAATGATTGCATCGAGGGCAGAGAGAGTTCATTTTTTTTTTAAAGATGGTTTTAAAAAATGTCTAAAGGATGAGAAAGAATAGTCGCTTCAGACGGATAATCGTCCAAATGATGTGTTTCTATAATTTTCCCCGTACAGAATACATTCAATCATTTAGCACACCCAAATCTATGTTTAATACCTTATATAGTACTCCTTTTAAATATGTCGGTCTGTGCCCACATGCTGGAAAGAAAAGGCAACGAACTATATATCAAAAACGGACCAAACCGACAACAGACCTATTTTTCGCAGAGAAAGATTTAAGAAATCTTCCCGGAAAGAGAGGTACTACTCACATTAACCTAGTCAAAGAACTATCTGTGTTTCGACTTTCAAGCAAATGAGCCATGCAATTTTTTCCCAGTTTCGCTTTTTTGAAAGTTCTTTATTCTATGTTCTAAGCCATGAATTGATCCGCCAGTCATTCAAGACAGATTTACAAATTTCACCATAGAATCAAGTACTTAATCTTGCGATATGTACGGGTGTGTAACCCAGTAAGGTTTACAACTAGTATCCAATGATACCGACAACTTACTCCCATCCAAAATGACGAAATAGGTCTGGTTGTTTCTTTGGTTCTTGCCAAGTAGCAAGGTATTTGGATAGAGGATATCATCGCATAATATTTAAGGGCTGAATAGAAACGCTATCTTATATACGCAAATTATTTATGAACAAAAATTACTTATATTTGCAGTTTTCTAAGATAATTTTTACTAAGGGTTAACACTCAAGTTATTCAACGCATTTTTCAAAAATTTGTTTACAGTATGGTAAAAAAAAACATTTCCGTAAACTTCATTATCTTGTCATTTGATAAAATTTCTATTTTCTATTTTTGTTGTAATTATATTTTTTATTCTGAGGAAATAATTGAAAATCGCTCACAACAACCGACAAATGCATAGAAGCGTGAAGTTTTGCACTGGGAGTAATTATGTTGGCATTTACAATAATCCCATGAATTGCATGGAGGGCTACGGCCTCTACGTTTATCCCGATGGCAGCGAATATCAGGGCTTCTTTCGACGTGGTCGCTTTCATGGCTACGGACGACTCACAATGGCAGCACCATATGCTTTCACGTTCATTGGCGAATTCCATAATGGCGAATTGGCGATCATCAACGAAATGATCTACCCAGATGGACTGATATTTAATGCCGATTTTAAGAATGGAAAATTAAATACAGATAATTGGCCTTATCTCAGCAAGACCGATCGCCGTTATACGCGTGAGCTATGTCTGGACCTTACGCCGGTAGTACCCGAAGAACCGATTGCACGTTACGGTGCGCGTTCGCTCAAACCGAAATGTTACGATACCGAAGAGGGTGTTTTTGTCGAGAAAAGTCGGTTTATCACACAAATTCCACCGCCATTTTATCACTTGCGTTTCGTTAACTGCGATAAAGAGCTGGAATGGATACAAAAATATTGTCGACATGAAGATACTGATAATCCCTATGAACCCGACGAAGCAAGTGGTCGTGAAATTATTGAAACCAATATAAAAGCAACAACGGAATTGGGTGAAAATCTGTATTCATGTACATGCAATGTTAGTAAGCCGGATGGTTTGGAAAAGTTGTGCCGACGTGGTTTTCGTGAGGGCGACGTTAGCTCATCCACTTCGGCATTTTCAAATGGTTATAGAGAACTGTCGAGTTCAAGCAGTGCAAGCTCATTTATTACCAAACCGTTAAAGAGAGATTTGAAATTAATGTGCGACAATGAAGTGGCCCAACTGGGCTTGAAGCCAAACGATTTAGGATCGGGATTTTGGGTGTAGGCGAAATATTAAAATATATTACCAACAGGTATAATAAAATTTAGTTTTCTTTTCAATAACACATATGTATGTATGTATGCATGTATATGTAAATAAACTCTTATTTGAATGATATTGCTTTATGAGTTATGACACAATCCACCATCTTTAAATGGTAACATTATATATACGACGGACGTCAGCTGGAAGCCGTTCGTCACTGCAAAGCGATTCCTCTTACACATACAAACTTTGCAGACCCTATGTAGGGTTTCAGTAAAATAAGATAATGAGAGTTTCGGCTCTTGTCAGAACCCTCGAGGTCTTCTAACGTATCCATCGGAGCGCCTGGACCAGAGACACCATAAATATGGATGATTATCTCATCTAGCTCATACCTTTGCCCCCCTTCATTTAAAAAGAAACCCATTTGCCTTCTCGTTCCATTCGTCTTTTCAACCTTGATCGCCCACTAAACCCTGGTAGGTAGAGCAGGGTAATAATCCATCCGTTCCCAGCTCGATGTAGGACGGAAATTTCTTTCCATTATACTACCTCCAGATTTGATCCAGGATAGCGGAATGGACTTCTCCTACCTTTGCAACACCACCTACTGAGAGCCTTAGCAGGCGGCAGTTGGCCTGGAATCATCCGACACCCTTACAGAGTGAGAAGCTACGTGGTCATTCAGCATAACCTCTGACCCAAGTCCACTGATTCCTCTCATTTGTTACAATTCCGGTCAGTACTCTGTGCTTCGCCACCTCCACAAAGTTCGGTTTTTGTGCTAAATGTGGAGTATCTTTTTCAAACATCTATTGATTGATGCGATGTGTGGGAAAAGATGCTGTCTTGTCGCCGTGATCATAATCTTCAATTTCAAGCATCAAATAGTCTGTTGTAATGGCGCGTTCTCTCCGGTTTCATGTTAGAAGAAATATCGAACGATGATTCCAGCGGCCCACAAATCACACATAACCGTTGTTTTTTCTGGACGACATGACAAATTTTGATTCTTCAGGTTGCTCGTTGTACCAACTGCGAAAATTTTGCCTGTTTACATACGCACTGAGTCAGATATGTGTCTCACGCTAAACAAAATTTGGCTCGAAAACATCGGATCTTCTTGGAACTTTTCAAATGTTCAAAGAACAAAGCGATGTGGTGTGGTATGGTCGAGCGGCTTCTGTTCATACACAAACCGTATTTTCCACGCTTTCAATTTCAGATCTCGACGTTAAATGCGCCACGTCGGTCCGTACGTCAAGTTCGAGATGCTGCGCTTAGGGCGAATCGACTCTCCACGGTCTCCGTGTACACGTCTTTTCGGTAGAATATTATCCAATAATAAATGCTGGATCTTACGATGGAATGGTGTTATGAGTAGTATGCTCAGTAGGCCGATTATCTTCACCATAAGTTGAGCGAAGCGGACGAAACACAATCTTTGCAGAACGTAAACTTTGATAATCAAGTTAAACAATTTGTAAACTTTGTTCAGGCGTAAGTCTTTCCGTGATGAAATGCCAAAACGACTCACACGTCAAAAAATGCCTATTGAAAAGCACCTCTACTTGAGTCACCCATTAGTTCTATAATTCACAAGAAAAAACGACCATTGCGTATTCAAAACTAGATTTTTGTTAAACTAGAATTTTGAATGAATTGCTGTTCTCTTTTCCATATCCTTACTACACCTCGTCACCTCATCATATTTCTATTAATATCTGAGTCAAGTGTAAATGGCCAAATATTTTTCGGAAGTCTCATATATATATTTTTTTTTTTTTCAAACTAATTATTTGCCGTATTTTTGCTGTTTACGGAAGTGATGATTCTGTATCAGAGTGAGAATTTGATTTCTGTACTCTAAATCATACATTTAACGAGTCATTCCTGCGTTGAGCGCTGTCTTCCCGCGCAGCTGGGCGTAATGGTTTCATACTTACGCTAATTTAATTCACTTCTGAATTCAACATACGAGCACATATGATGCTTCGATTACATTTCATCTCATTTCCATAAGCCAATCGAAAACCTGCAACACCCAACAAATATGAACGGATTTAAATTAATTATCTCCTTAAACAGTTCCGACTCAAATCGATTTGCTTTATTTACAAAGCATATAAATTTTTCGCATTGTTTTCCGGTAGCGACGCTTATCATTAATTATGAAAAATATCCACAACGGAAATAATGAAAAGCGTTTGCATTATTGCTTATTAAGCTTAATTACAACACTTTCAAGAAGATCAGAGACAAGAAAAAAAAAAATAAATTAACAAAATAGCACAATTACATCTTCAATTGACGCCTCAACAATTGGCGATTAATTAATCAAAATCAATCATACGCTCGATCGCAAACGCAGCTCGTGCTGACATAATTTATCAAAAAGCATTTTGTATGTACATTTGTACTGCGCGAGCCTTGCGTGTCATCTGCGATAACCTGTGCTAATATCATATGTACATGTATATGATATTTTGTATGTTTGTATTTAAGTATATCGAGCGGCATCCAGCAGGGACATTGCACTACGTAGGTACGAGTTATTAACCCAAAGTCAATATTATTAAAATGAATATAAATGTGTAATACGCTGTGAAATACAGGTTCTTAGAAGCACACAATCCCACACACATGTATATACACGTACATACATGTGTATGTAAATACTAAATTTTGAACGAATTCTAATTATGTCTGTTTAAGCAAATATTTGTACAATGCGCAATCGAAATGAATAGAGTTTTTGTTATAAAATATTTACCGCAAAAAATTGTTAAATACAACACATTGTTTTTGTCTGGATTATCTGGGCCATAGCCTTTACGGGTGATTGCACTCTATTGACCTGTGTTCTTTGGAATCCTACTGAGTCTTATGTGATGAAATGACTTTGGAAAACAAATGACTAAATAAGTTAAAATGTTTTCGTTCAGTCGAGCAAAATTACCAATGCATTACCAAATTTCTCTTTACTTCACTTGTTAGGCACATTTTGGTATATGGCTCAGTTGTGTGGTGTCCGCACTACCAAATGTATGGGGTTAAATAATGATTATTCCATTAAGCTACATGTGTACCGCTTTCATTTATTATTGTTTTTCACTTTTACCTTATAACTTACATGTCCACGATTAAATGCTCAGATATTCTGTAGCTGTAAGACTTGGCGCGATGAAGTTGTTTTTGCGAGGAATACAACGCCTTTTTTATTATTGGAAAATTTAATTCGCACAGCAAGACTCCTCCGTAATTCCTAGATGCTTTTCTGGTCATTATTCTGTAGAATTGTTTTTGGGTTGTAGTTTTATGGAACTGTCTCAGACCATATATTTTTAGGAATATGTGAAAAAACTTTATTTTAATTTACTTCTTCGCCAGTTTACTATTCCATATAAGTTTTGTTTTATCATCATCGATTGGGTAATCGGATTCCTGGTTTTCCATTTTCACTGCCATTCAGCAGGCTAGAGTAGAGTTCCCCTATAAGCTCAGTACATATATACTTTGGGTCTATTCCTTAGCTGTTATTTAAGTCAACTGTGAAAACTACCGCTATGTGATGAAACACAAACTATTATACCGCCTGCTTTGGTACATATAGAAATGGATATTGAAAATATTGAAAAATCATCGAAAGCATATCAAGTATATAACAAACTTGATCAGGTATGGAGATTTGGATCAAAATTCTGCCAAAGAGCATGAAGCTTGGTAAATTTTTAAAGGAATTTAAATAAATATTGACCCGAAAATCATCGAAATCGAATTTTGCATTCATTAAATGTGTAAGGATTTCGGCACGACCGAATACAACACATCTTTCTTGCTCGATGTGCGGTCACCAGTTGGCTGGGAATGTCAAGTAAGGAGTGTATTTCTGATTTAAAATAAAAGTTCCTTAGTGGCCGTTCAGTGACGGCTCAGAATAAATAGGCGATCCCCCTATTCGTTAAAAAAAAACCTCAAAATGTACACTAAAAGTCAAAAGAAGAGCTCGTGTGAAAATTGTTGTAGCGGTCACATACTTATAATCTGCGCAAAAAAAAAAAACAAAAAAAAAACAATACACGTCCAATGAGAAGAGTAAATAGAACAGTATATATGATTTTTTCCGAATAAATCGGTTGGAGGTTTACTTCTTATTTCTTTATATTTTATATAAAATATACCATAAAAATATATGTAACTAGATTATAAATATAATTTCCCATTGAAGCCTTCATTCTTATCACCTTCTCTTTATTTTCTATTTTTATTATGTCACATGACTTAATTTTTATCACCTCAAATTAGAGATATTAACTGGTTTATATCAATTATTTTTATTATTTATGGCAGGCAATGCACATTTGACTTGAGCAATTGAATCTTATTCATTCGCATTTTAATTTGTTCTGGAAAAAAATCAATTTTATATTATTGTAATTTTTATTCACACACTCGTACATACATACCTTTGTATGCATTAATACACAATGTAAAAGGCGCTACTGGAAATAAATTATGGTTGGAATGAATACTCACATGGCCGAGAGTTAAATTCCAACGAAATTATTGAAAATAATCATTTTGAAATTCGCTATTGAAGAATGATTAATAAATTTATAGGAAAATTCTTCCAAATGACTCAATATTGATTGACGCTACAAGAAGGTCAAAGACTGCACTGAATCATTTAACAAAATAAAATATTTTAGCAAAATTTATGCAGAAGCACGTATGCGTAAACAATGTAGAACATTAGTAGAACCGCTCGAAAGTCATTTTGGCATTCATTATTATGCACTCAGAACTATCAGCACTATTTAGTTGAGACTATACTTCAGTGAAAAAAGTAGCATTAACAGGAGTCAATTATCAAAACCATAGTGAATATCTCTATCGTTGGTAAAGATAAAGACCACATAAAGGCAGTTTCTTACAGACCAATAAGCCTCCTACTTTGTCTTTCCAAGTTATTCGAAAGAAAAAATATTTAATAATAACTAGCCGACCCTGCAAACTTCGCCCCGCCTTAATTACGTGTCTTTATATTACATTAGGAGTGATAAAAAAAATGTATGTAGTTAGTTCTAATCTGAATAAACTCGA